AGCAGCCAGTGCTCTTTAACTGCTGAGCCATCTCTCTAGCCTGACAAAAAGAATTTTACTACCAAAAACTACATATAAAAAAGTTTCTAAGGTTGGGCACAGTGGCCTTGTAATCTCAGCACTTGAGATATATTGGAAGAAGAAAGTTCAAGGTCACCCTCAACTATAGTCCAAGTCCAAGGTTAGCTTGGGCCATGTGTCAAAAGCCAAGACCAAGACCAAGACCAAGACCAAGACCGAAAAAAAAAACAACAACAACAACAAAAAACAATGCTTCTGGGAAAAAGGAAGATGGGCACGGTGGAGTGAGAGGACCCCAACTCCAAGGCCAGCCGTAGCCACACAGTGAAACACTAACTCAAAAGCCACCGAACGAAACAAACAAAACACATTAAAGAAAAGTAATGTCTGACAGAGACACAGTGACGAAGGCTCAGTGTCCACAGTGACAACGGGGAGGTCTGCAGGATGCCCACTGCATGCACAAAGCCCAGTAGGAGCTTGTGCAGAGGTTCAAGGTTAAGGCTACATGTATTGTGGAGATGATATGCCTGGTACTCGAACACTCAGCTAGGACCCAAGGGAGGCAGAAAAGGCACCACTCCCTGGCTTTCCTCAGAGGCACTGAAGTTCTCAGAAATCAAGTCCCTATACCCTAACTCACCTAGTCTAGGAACAAACACATGGGGGCCTATGTGGGGGTCACAAATAGCAAAAGACTTAAACCTTGGCAGGGCTTTACTGTCAAGTAAAAACATAAGACATCTATACACAAAAAAGGCCAAGAAACAAACTGTATAAACACACATGGGCACACAGAGGTTACTGGGAATGAAGAAACAATGACATCACAGAAGCAGGACTTTCAGAGGAGACTATCAGCAGTAAAATAAAAGCTAGAGAACAAGGGATGACAGATGCTCTTAAAGAGAAGCAGAGAAGACAAGAAGATGCGCACATGCACTGTACCTGGAGAAAGAAAGGAGGACAGAGAATACGAGAACTGTGAGACCCTAGGAGGAAACACCTTGGGGCACACGGGGAGAACACCTGCTCTTCCAGTGAGCACGAGTCCACAGAAGTGGGAAGCAGGTCTTATTTCAAGGACACCAGCGATGAAGAACATACAAGCACAAACGCCACTCCCTCTAACACACACAAGTATTAAACCGATCAGTTAGAAGAAAGCTGTGAAAACTGGACTTTAGAAATCCAGCTACGCTATTTACAGCCAAGAAGTCTAAGGACAGAACAGCTGCAAATGCCGAATGGAAAATATAAACCAGGACAACACTACCCTAAACGAGGCCTAACAGACTAGGAATAAAAACATTCAACTTTATATTAGACATTGAAAGGATCACTAAATATACTCCAAAAAGATTCAGATACTCTGTTTGGAGGGCTGAACACAAGAGTCCCAATATCGAAAGCAGACACTGAAAGACCTGTAAGGATAAGCCAGCAAAGCCGTTATCACAGGTGTGGGTATTTTAACACCCCTCTTTTAATGATGTGTGAAGAGTTGGAATATCAGTGCAGGCCTTTAGGAAGCTGGCTAGAAAACAAACATGCATGTGCACCCTGGATGTGTGCAGTGGTGTGCATGGAGCATAGGCACTGGTAAGCACTGGTCTTTACCTCTGAGCTACATCAAAACAGTGCAAGCCTGGACTGTGCGGAGACATGTGAGCTCCACTGTATATAATTCTCTCCACTTCTCCGTGTATTTCATACATCATCAAAATAAAACATGGTAGCAGCGGTAGCCTTAACTCATCCATCAAGTCACAGTTCACTCATCAAGGGGGCTTCTCAGACCATGCTCTGACCAAAATGTCACTAAGTTAACAGTAGAGTTAATTTGCAAACAATCAGGCAGACGTGGTTGCTATAATCCCTGTACCCAGGAGGCTGAGGCAGGAGGGGATACATAGTGAGACCCAGCTTCAAAAACCAAAAATAAATAAATGTACTCATTTGGATAGGTAACAACAGAAATCAACCAAAGGTTTTAAAAACAAATATTTAAGATTTATTTTAAGGGTTGGGGATTTAGCTCAGTGGTAGAGTACTTGCCTAGCAAGTACAAGGCCCTGGGTTTGGTCCCCAGCTCGGGGGGGGGGGGGATTTATTTTTATCTGATATGGGGGGGGGTGCCCACAGAAACCAGAAGAAGGTACCAGAAGCTAAAGTTACAGATGATTGCAAGCCACTCAACGTGGGTGCTGAGCACCAAACTTGGGTCCTCTGGAAGAGCAGTCATATTTCTAGCCACCCAATTTAATCATCTTAAGTCACTGAACATCTTAAACACAACAACAAAGCCTACCTCGTTTCAATTCCCAGCCCTGAGAAAAGCAAAAGAACACAAGAATCAACAGGTCCTAAGGCTCAAAAGCAAGAATGAAAACAACCAGGTCTCACTAGCTAGAAGACCAGTTTCTGAATGATGATGGCACACAATGGTGGGGGAGGGAGGAGCACACAGCCAGTGCAGCAGGCACAGGGCTAGGAAACAAAGGCCTCTGAGATCAGTGAAGAAAAGCACAAACACATTAGAAAAGACAGCAAAGCATGCAGCACACACCTGGACTCAGGACTCAGGCTGAGGCAGGAGGATCAAGAGGTCAAAGCCAATCCAGGCTACATACATGACTCAGTGAGCCCCACCAAAAAAATTTAAATTAAAAAAATAATAAAAGACAAAAAAAAAAGGAAGAAAAGGAGAAAAACCAAGAGACAGTCTGTATGCAAAAGGAACATAACTAGCTACAAATGGGAAGGCATCCGATTCCAACAGTAATCAAACAAGGTATTGCTGCCCATCACATACCCCATAGGAAGAAATGCCTTGTGGGATACCTTGACAAGCCTAATACTGTTGCTGATCTAAACCAGTGGCCATCAGATATAATATGGCACAATGGCCTGATGGAGTGCTGGGCTCACACACTTCTACTTAGCAGCATGAAAAGGCAACCTCTTGTATTTTTAAAGCAAAGCTGATTACTAATATTTTACTTATTTTTTTGTGTGTATGAATGTTTTGCCTGCATGTCTATAAGTGCACCATGTGTGTGCAATGCCCACAGAGGCCTCAAGAGAGCATCAGATCTCTGGAGTAATAGACAGTTGTTAGCCGCCACATGATGCTGGGGACCAAACCCAGGACCTCTGCAAGAGTGCTCTTAATCACGGAGCTGTTTCTCCACACCCTAAGGCTTTAATTTTTAATATTAATTTAAGCAGAGGTGTTGGGGGGCAGGCTTAGAAGGACAGTTGTATGTTCTCAAGCGTGAATGTGGACTTGGACATAAAGGCCGAAAAAAACAAGATCCACATAGAACCTCATTTCATTTATAGCAAACGTGTATTTCTAAGGGAATATATCAAGATTTTTTTTGCCCCTCTTTGACAACTTCATTTAAATTTTCTCTAACTAGAATGTATCATCACCTGAAGAAACAAACTAAAATCCATTCAAAAGGGCTCCAAATTACCCAACAGATGAACCTGACATTCAAAAGGTTCTAAATTACCCAACAAATGACCCTTTTCTAGAATCTCTGTCAATGTTCTGTGAAAAGGTCTCTGCACAGGGCTTGCTTTGTGCTGCTGATCATCTCTCCTCTGAACAGAGGCAAGTTCAATCAACACATTGTCAGTGCTGGAGCTGATACTAAGCTGGCATGGATCATGACACTGAACTCCCTTCAAACACCAACAGTCAGGCACTGGCAAGGCCACCAACGTACCCCACCAAGAGCTTTCTGATCAAGCAGCAGAAGAGCTAGGTCTGGAGACAGGTGCTCTGTGCATTAGACCACTCAGCCTGTAAGGCAGGAAGTGTATTCCTACACGTGGTGTAAGTGCATACCGTCACTGTGGCAGAAGTGCAAAGGCATGGGAATCTAGAGGGAAAGGACAGAAATAAATAAAAGGAGGACAACAGGTCATTTCAAAACATGTCACCCAGAGATTGGCTATCTCCCCCAGAAGGATCTGACCCATACTTGCACACTTGCTCCACCCTGCTTCTGTATCATGCAGCAAAATCCACAGCCCTTGGTCTTTCCACAGGAGTCTCCCCTCCATTTCTCTGACTTCCCCACCAGGATTTTGAAGGTATCAGGTAAGACCCCAATTCTTCCTCTTCTATTTATTTACATTCCTGTTAGCTGACTTTCTGTAATTGCTAGAAGTCAAATTTAAACCAACTGTAATGCAAACTTTGACTCACTTCAAATTTAAGAACGTGAACCTAAAATTCTTTCCAAATAATCCCAGTACTCAAGCAGAGGCAAGGGGATCAGTTCAAGGTCAGTGGTCTGAATGTCTGAAGACTTTACTACAGCGGAGCAGGTTAAGATAACCTTTACTTTAGCACATCTCTCAAAACAACACAGGAACTTCAGTGAAAATATAGCCAGAGAAAATATTGTCCCAACACTGTACTTCTGGCAAATGACAGTAAAACAGATATAAAGATAATTATCTTGCTGAATCAATTACAGAAAGATGAAGTGCAGAACTCCTAAGATCTAAGATCCAGCCATGCTTACACGTACTTTAAAGCAACCTAATACAACAGTCTAATACACAAAATGATTTCACTATCAGAGAACTTTTGATTTCTCCATTTGTAAAAAGAAACCCTTAATTAATACAGAGAAAAGTGAATAATAACAGTCAATTTATGAGCAACTCTGTATTTCAGTATAAAACAGAATTATCATTCCAGTGTAATTAAAAAGTACACTGAAGAGTCACATACATATGTGTATGTATGCATGTATGTTCCTAGGCAATACACATTATTAGCCACAGGACATTTGTCAGTAAATTTAAGTATAAAATCAAGGTTACCAAGATTCTATTCTTAAACATTTTCTTGTTGAAATGTGTTAGAAAGAGCATGATTTTAGACATTATTTAATTTTAAATCAAGATAAACTAGGAAGGGACCTGCAAATATTGCAAAAATGTGCAGTACTTACTCTAATACTTCATAGTTAGACTTCTTTTCTAGTGCATTGCCCCGCATCTCCCAGTAGGATCGCCTAAAACCAGAAAACACATAAACTGAGAGGTATCTATGCTGCTGAATGACAGACTGGGAAGGATGCACCCAAATAGTCAAGGAATCTGGAATCCTCTCAGTTTAATCAAGATTTTACAATAATCTTGTAACAACAACAAAAAAAAACCTACACAGTTTCAAAAAAATTTTCTTTCCTGATGAATAATAATAAAAGACAGAGCCGGTCACCACCCACCGTCACCACCCACCGTTACCACCTACCGTTACCACCTACCGTATTTCCAGACAACCCAACTTCAAAGCAATTTCCTGGTCCACCTGATCAGCTATCTCTAACATGTAGTCACTCTTCACCTGAAATGAAGAACAAGAAACAGGAATGTGTTCTCAAGGTATCACTCAATATGCTTGCTGAAAGCCCTTTACACATTTGTTCACAGTATGTCAATGACTCCGCTTACCATGGGAAGCCTGTAGGTCTGAGGCTACGTGCTGACTCTGGAGCAGCTGAGTCTACACCACAGCAATGCTGTGCTACCTTGTACGCCTCCCATTCCACCGAAGGCAAGAACAAGCAACAAGAGCTCCGTATCTATAAGCCCACAGCAGATGGGTTTTCAGGGTTCTCACTACAGTTTCCAATGCATTCTGGGGACTCCAGTGCAACCACCAAGAACATACTTCAAAATCCAACTTGCAACCACAGTGTCAACTCTAAGTTATTAATTTGTAAAGCAACATGCCTCAAGTCTAATATAAAGAGGCAGGAGGAGACCCTCTGGCAACAAACATGCTCAATTCAACAGAGCCAGGTGTGTGATGTGGTCCTTTGATCCTAGCATTGGGGAAGCTGAACCACACAGTCAGAATATCTCAAAACACCAAAAAACTGGTCAGCAAGAAGGCTCAGAGTTAAAAGGCCTGCTCAACAGGCCTGATGACTCGAGTCTGACCCCTGGAACACACAGTGAAGGAAAAGAATGGACTCTCAAAAGTTGTCCACGGACCTCCACATGCACAAACCGTACAAACCCCCACACACAAATAATAACAAATTAAAATTTAAAAACGTAGCCGGGCGTGGTGACGCACGCCTTTAATCCCAGCACTTGGGAGGCAGAGGTAGGCGGATCTTTGTGAGTTCGAGGCCAGCCTGGTCTACGTAGTGAGTTCCAGGACAGCTGGGGCTATAGGGAGACCAGGTCTCAAAAAAAGACAAAAAATAAAATAAAAATATACAACAAAGAGCGCTCATGGACTGACACCAGTATGTCCAAGTACCTGTCAGCACGAAGCCATTTTCCAAGTTGAAATATACCTAATTTCCTCACTCTATGCACAGAGATCATGATTTGCAGATAGTGTCCAATTTGAACTGTCTGCTCTAATTCACAGCATACTCAGTATTACGAGCGACGCAAATACAAAGATTTGTCACAGAAGAACACCTGTCTTCCCTGAAGACACCACACCCCATGACTGAAAAACAAACAAGTCAAGCAGGAGCTGAGCAGGCGGCTTCTTCCCACCTGTCTGGCTTTTCCAGTGCCTTCCGGTACCGTGTAGGCTGCTGGGGGAGAAACAGCATCAACGATTTTACTGTGCTGTGGACCCTTAAAATATCAACCTGACAGGCAAGATGCACACACTTGTACAAAAGTGACACAAATGTCATGGGGGTAACCAACCCCTCTCTGCCTGGATTTGAGACCCACTTCACAGGAGGGAACCCAGGCCAGTGAATCCAGTCAAAAACCTATGCCAGAGAGATCACAGGTTCAGGAGAAAAATTAAAACTGCGGTTTAACTAAAATGACACAATGTAAAACTGTCATTTTAAATATTTATATTCATACAAAGACAAATGCTAGTCTCAGACTTAATCAGAGTCCCTCTTTGCAGTGAATGATGACTCAGGGCAGGTGAAGATACCGATAGCAAGTGAGGGATTCATGCTCAGCCCTAAACAGGAGGAGATTGATACTATCCCCTCTAAGGCTCAGGGAGCACTGCAGAAGAGCGGGCAAAAAGAATGGATGAGCCAGAAGACAGAGAGATGCGCTGCAAAAAGCCACCAAGGCAGAACAAAACACCTGCAATCACAAACTCACACCAGCTATGGCAGTATGCATTGAAAAAGGGCTCAGGGGCCCACAGTTCATGGATGAGCTGCTGAGTACAGGTAGGGTCCAGTCCACCAAATTTGAGTGAGTAACTCCAAATTAAGGATGGCACGGAGGTAAATGGGTGTGGGGAAGAGAGTCATCAGAGTGTATTATATACTTGCATGATATTGTCAAAAGATTAATTTAATAAAAAACTTCTGAAAAAATACTTCTTTGAAATATTCAAGTCCATATTAGCTGCTAATTTTCACATTGCTGTAACAGAGTATCTGACAGAAGCAACTTGAGGGAAGAAGGGTTTACTCTGGCTCACAGTTTAGGGATCTTGGTCTGCCATGGGGCAAAGCACAGCAGCAGAAGCGGGAAGCAGCACTAGTCAGAGCAGAGGGGGCCAGAGCTGGGACCAGACTAATGGCTAAAGCCCTTCTTTCACAAAGTTCCCTCTCCTAGAGGCTCCACGCCACCCCCAACTGGGGACCAAGTGTTAAAACACAAGAGCTCCTGGGGATATTTCAGACACAAACCACAGCAGAGTCTAATCAGTTACAGAATGGTTTTCATGTGAGTGTAGTGGTGCAAGCCTTTAATCTCAGCATTTGGGAGGCTGGCGGACAATAAGCAGAAGTCATCCTGGGCTACACTGTTTGAATTCTAGGCCAGTGTAGGATGCACAGTAAGAAACTTTCCAAAACAAACAAAAACATAAAATTGTAAGTATAAAACAAAGGTGGTCATCAAATTCCAAGGCTCCAGAATTCTGTGACCATTTCCATACACAAGTTCTTACATGGCATCTCGGCTCCATCCTGAATGTCTACAAACAGCTTAAGAGGTAGGTAGGTGCGTGCGTGTGTGTAAGCACTTTGCAGTGAACTCTTATTCCAGTTGGGCACTGTCTGTGCAGTGCACCATGTCTTCAACTATCTCTGCTGTGGCATCTGAAGCACCAGCATCAAGCATCTCAGCACAGGATGCTTTCCAAGCCAGCAATGAAAATCATTCTTGACAAAATCAGGGTAAAAATAAAAATATCTACTTCTTTTTATCATCCAAATAGAACTGTCTTATATTCAGCCTGTTTAAAACAAATGCCTTTAATATAATGTCTTTCACACCCAGGAATGACCATACATCACTACCTGCACTAGATACAGGAACATGAAACAGCTAGGCTTTTTAAAAAAATATTTTATGTATCATTTTTATTTTATTTTACGTGTACATGTGTATTGTCTGCATGTAGGTAACTGCACCCATGTTGTGCAATGCCTGCAGAGGACAGAAGAGGCTGTCAGATCCCCTGGAACTGGAGTTATGAACAGTTGTTAGCTGCCATGTGGGTGCTGGATTCAAACCTGGGTCTTCTGCAAGAACAGCCAGTGTTCTTAACTGCTGAGCCATCTCTCCAGCCCCCAGCTGGCCTTTTTTAACCCTCCTCCTGGCAGACACAAGCAAATACCTCGACTCTTCACTACTGAAAATACAATGTTCCTGACTATCTCTGTACAGGAATACATAAATGGCTAAATCTAGTCATTTCCTTAAAATTATTAGGTCAAATCATATGAAACTGCCAGTGATCAACTGGGTTTTACTTAGAGAAACACCAATGCCAATCGCTCCACCTAACAAGCCTCATGACAGGTGTGCACTGGAGGCTTTTAGCAGTCCAAGAAACATGGCATTTCCCTTCTCCATGCCTCATTCACCCCTCTGTGGCTGCAGGATCACCTTCACCTCCTTCCCCTGACAAAACACACAGGAAAGGGCAGTGGCTGTAACTATGCCTGTCACCTTTATTTCCTCTAAAGTGTTATGGACTTGGTAAGCTATCATACACACAAAACAAACCTAACAGATCATTTCAGTGACATTTAAAGTATCTCCTGGAAATCAGATTTGTAGAGAAGAAAACAGACTAGAGGGAGGGCAGGGTGAAGGGCCATCCCAACGCCTGCAGCTTGGTTTATGAGTGGGAGTGCTGAGTCTTCAGTGGCCTGGCACTGCCTAGAAAGTGAAATTCAAAGAACTGTTGGTAACAGTGCTGAAAATGCACAGCAGGCACAGGGCAGAACTCAGTGTGCATCCCTTTGTGAAGAATCTGTCATTACACCTCATCTTCCCAGAGCTTTAGGGAATACTCAACTGGATGGCAGGCTACAATGAGATGTGCCCTCTTAGGAAAAGGAAATCAGGATCCACTGGAATGTGCAGTATTAACTGCTAATAGAGTTTGCCCAATAAAAAAGAGGACAGCCTAGTAAACTATGAATGGAACAAAGCTGCCAGCTTTCCGAGTAGCACAGGAATGATGAACAGAGTACCAGCTCACGAAGTAGCAGGGTTTGTGGTGTTCAGGAGCAAATGTCACCAGGAAAGCCCCATATTTCCTTAGTAGAGATTGTTTTGCAAATAAAAAAAAATCTACCATTATCAGTACCAACCATCTACAAGGGAGAAAAACGCCATGTGACAGACTGAGCATCCCAATCTGAAAAACTGAAATTCCAAGTGCTCCGAAGTCCAAACTTTTGAGCAGCCACCTGAAGCCACAGTGAGAGAGCTCACTTCAGGAAGCTCTGCTTCAGGGAACCCACTGCATTTGGTTACCCTGAGGCCAATCTATGAGGTGCACAGGAAACAAATGGTTTCATGTATGCACTTGGGGCCTATCCCCAACATACTTCATTACAAAATCAGAGTATGGCTGTGGTCTGAACACTTCTAACCTAAGCATTTCAGGTAAATGACACACAACCTGTGTAAATATGCCAGTCACATGAATGCTTGCCACCTCCATCAAAAAGTATGAAACTAATGAGGCAGCTAATAGATGCAATGTATGTTTACACTGTATACAGAAGTATATAGGAGCCAGTTTAGAGGCTGGGAAGCATTTGTGCAGGGTGAACAGTCCTCGAACGATGACTTCTCAGCTGGACTCTTAAGCACACCTCCTTCTCTACCTCAAACTCAGCTCCCTCTTATTCAACTCTGTATCACTGCAAAACTCCAAAACTTCCTATGAATCCCTTACACCTACACTTTCCATGTCTTTTACCTCATAGACAAGCAAGTCAGCCCCTATCCCCAAGCCCCCCTGCCCTTCAGACACCACCAATAGCTAGAAAATTCCTTAGCGTCCTGCGCTTGGGGGAAATCTCACGGGCAGGAAGATCTGTTCTTCTCTCAAGAGAAAAACAAAATATACACATAATCTGCCTTGTACCTCCCTTTTCTGAATCAAATTCACCATTGCCCTTTTCTGAATGGGGTCCTTTCCTGAACTGGGTACCCAAATTTACACTTTAGTTCCTTCCATCTCTAGATCCTGTCAGATCTGCCTACTGCACTGATACACAACCACACTCTTCCATTTCCTACATTATTTCTTGCAGAGGACCCAGGTTCAGTTCCCAGCACCCACATGATGGCTAACAACCATATGTAACTCCAGTTCCAGGGGATTCAACACCCTCTTCTGACATCCACAAGCATTTCATGACATGGGTGCACTTACATATATTCAGGCAATACACATAAAATACACATTACAATGTTGGCTTGTCTTCAGTAAACTGGTTTAGAAATAATGAATAAATTATTTTTTATTCTGATCAAAGTATCCACTAAATAAATTCTCTAAATGGCTCCCAATACTCTGCAGGAAAATCTAAACTGCTTGACTGAGAGGACACACTGCATACCACTCAACAGCTTCTGAGCAAAGCTTCCAGCTCAGACTTAACCACAGTTCTTCTCTCCTCTCTCTGTTCCCCCAGAGGAAAGACAGCGCTTCCTCCTCTGGAGATGAGCACTCCTCTCCCCCAACCTTGTGGGAGCCATAGCAATTCTGTGCCTGCAAAGTCATATGGTGGTGTGCTTAAGATGGCAGAGGCCTGGCACAAGGCAACTACGTACAAGTGTCTGCACAACCGAGAAGAAAAAGTACAAATTATCAGTGTCCTACCCAGGAGATGTTTAATGAAGGTATTCATTAAGACCAAAGCAAGTAATTATTGCCTGAGTGTAAAAAACAAGTCACTCAGTGTTTTTAAGTCCCGTTTTACTTTGCTGTGAAACTTGGTACCAAAATTATACAAGTGAAGTTCACTGCCAACAATTTCTATGTATGACAAGCTTATTGCTGTTCAAGCATGATAAGCACTTGAATCTGACCAACAGTGGTCCTGGGCCTACTCTCCCCAAAAGAATGAAAAGAAGAAGTATCTTTTAACTATCCACCCAAGCACACAAAAGGTCAGATATAAAAGGTCCTAATTTCCAGCGAGCTAAAAGATTGCTTGGTTTTGTTTTTTGAGACATTGTCTCTCTGTAGCCCTAGCTGGTCTGGAACTTAGTATGTAGATCAGGCTGGCCTCCATTTAAAGATTCACCTGCCTCTACCTCCTGAGTACTAGAATTAAGGTGTGCACTACTACACCCAGCTAAAAGAGTCTTAATACCACACAGTTATAAACCTATATTCTGTCAAATATTAGGTTTCTTTCTCTAAAATAAAAATACATTAATAAATAAGATTCAAAGAAACAAAAAGTACATTAAAGCATTTTTTTATACCTGCTGATAGAAGAAATTCAATGTTGGCTTGTCTTCAGTAAACTGGTTTAGAAATCCTTTTGGCAAATAACGAATTCTCAATTCATATCTAAAAAATAATTCACAAAATATAATAAATTAGTAATAAATATTTTTCTCGATTAATGATCTACAATCACACTATTATTTTCAGTGCCTCATTGCCAATAACTGTGAAATAGAATTTTGAAAATAAAATCAATTACATTCTTTAAACAGACACCCTAATTTTCAGTACACAGCAACTGTACCTCAGTGGCAGGTGCTATAGCTCAGTGTTTCTACCAAAGACAGCAGGAGGAACCAGCCCATAAGTCAGGTTCCCTCCCTTTTCCCCACCCACAAGCATTCCCAGGGCTACCCTACCCCAGGAAGGGGATCACTGTTTGTGCTATCTGGGCTTTTCTTCAACAACATGCATATGAATGCATACAGAGCTAGCAGCTGCAGTTCGACCCTAACTGAAGCATCTCACTGGAGGTTACCACACAATTATTTACACTTGAAATTGACAAGAGCCATGGGAACTGTTTCAACTTTCTGGCTACTAGAATAATGCTACTATGAAAACTCATTTTAAATCACCCTAAGCAGGAAAAAAAAAAAAAGAGTTCAGGAAATCAAGCTTCTAGAATGGCTGAAACAAGCTGACTTCCCCAAAGTCCTCTCTATGTGTCACTCACCTTTGTGTGCTAACCCACATGAGCATCCTTCTGTCTGCCACTGAACACACATATTTTATGTACATGAGTGCATTGCCTGCTTCTAAGTATATTCATGTCATACAACACCCACGGAAGACAGAAGAGGGCACTGGATCCCCTGGAGTTAAGGACAGTTGTTAGCAACCATGTAGGAGCTGGGCACCAAACCAGGGTCTCCTGCAACAACAGTCGGTGCTCTTAACCAATGAACCATCTCTCCATCCCCTCACTATTGATTTTTAAATACTTATTGGTATTTTTTGAGATACCAGTACTTACTATACTGTTTCTGTTATATAACGTACTTATTATAAAGTATTAGGCAGGGTGTGATGGGGCGCACCTTTGATCCCAGGACTTGGAAGGCAAAAGCAGAGGAGTTGTGAGCTGAGAGCCAGTCTAGGTTCCACAGGGAGACCCTCTCAAAACAGAGCAGCTGCCAAATACTTAGGTTCCATTTAACTTTTGCATGAAGAAAAGTGTTCTGTAACTTACTGTAGCTATTCTGAATTGGGCAATTATGTACCGAAGCGTAACAGATACCATTTATTCTTAACTGAGAACTCATGAGGATCTAGCTACTTATATACACTGCTTCTGTTCATCAGTAATATTCAAAGAGAAGTATAATCACTTGCATTTTGCAGCCCAGAAAATTCTACTTGGCAAGAAGTCAGCAGTTCCAATGATCAGCTACATGTTTAAGATTCAAAGTCACAGGCTTCACTGCTATGATTATACCCTTTTTTTGAGACAGGGTCTCCCTGTAGCCTGAGCTGGCCTGGAACTCACTTTGTAGACCAGGCTAGCCTTGAACTCAGAGATCTGCCTGCTTCTGCCTCCTGAGTGCTGGGATTAAAGGCGTGCACCACACCTGGCCTATTATACCTATTTTAAAGTTAAAGGAACTGAGGTCCCAGATCAAATGTTGCTCAGCTGGGCTCTACGTCCAATGCTGATGCTGATCAGCTAAGTCTATCAACTGGGAAACAGAAATTTCAATAGGCATTTTTACAAGGGTGACATCTTTTTACAAGATGAACATGGGGTCTTGATCAGGACTGCCTATGCTTAACTGTAATCATGCCACTTACTGTCAGCCATTGTCGCAATGAGCCTCAATTTCCTCACAAGAATTTTGAAGAAATAGAGGAGTCTGGAAACACAAGAGGTATGGAACACTCACTGGTTCGAAAGTCAGCTGCTATGCACCAACACTGGAGAGCAGAGAAGTTCTGGCTCTCAAAAAGCTTATGCTTTTGTGGTGTAGGCCAGAGGATAAACAGAAATCTAAGGTGGTAATAAACATTACAAAAGCTCAAATAAGAGGGACAACAAGTGGTATTTTGCTATAAAGAGTAGTCACTGAAGGGCATTCTGAGGTGGTGATCTCTGAGCCAGAGTAATTAATGTAAAAGCAAAGTTCTGCCTTGTGAACAGGAAAAGGAGATTCATTAGATGCAACAGACTGAGTAACATGGGGCTGGGGTCACTTGGGAAGACAAGTGCAGCTCGAACAGAGTAAGAGTGTAAGGAGAAATAAGGGTCCAGAGAGAACGAGGGATGGGAGGTGGCAGGTCACACGGATGCCTGCAAATCATGGTTGCATGGCGTTTTCAGTGAGAAAGAAGACACTGCCATATCCTGAGCAGAGCAGTGGCAGCACAGGACTCAGATTTCTCTTGACTAGGCCATACCCTGGAAGCAAAGGAAGAAAGAGGGGAGACCAGGGGCTAAGCACACAGCTCAGCAAGAAACATTAACAGGATATTCACCTGTTAGGTGGACACAGAAAAGAACAAAGAAAGAGAACCATGGCTATCAGGAAGCTCTAAAGCAGTAGCTGTTCCAGTAAGAACATGAGCGGGCAGAGATGACCCCCTGCCCCTTCAAACAGAGGATGAAATCCAGTTTCCTTATTTGTAGGAAGTAAAGGCCACCACATAAAGGACTTGTCTCCATTTCACACGCTACAGTTGGTGTATCATACAAAACCTCTTTGTTCATGGAGCTAATTTCCTTTCAGTCAGGACCTGTGCATAGTCCTTGGCCTATCACACCAGACACCCACATCCTACTGCCCTGCAACTCCTCTAAAAGAAACTCAGTTCCCTTTACACTTCTGTCACTATGCTGAGGCTAGTGACATCCTGATATAGCTGCTTCTCCATGCATTTCCAAACAGAGTATGCCCCAAATACTTACCCTTTGTTTCTGTTCCAAAGCAATCTGTTCTTGGTAAGGAAGAGCTCACAACCAACTATGAGCATAAGATGCCTACAAGTTAACTAGCTACCAGTGGGAACAGAAGAGTGTTTTGGAAAATCTAAAGTTGGCTAAAAGGCCTCACAAGAAACATGGTGTGGACAAGCTCATTCTTACACTTCCAACTTAGGGGGGAAAGACCCGAGAAAGATAGAAACAGAAATTCCTGTTTAGTGATTAACATAATATCATTTATTATTAACATCATAACCCCTGGAAGGCAGAATCACCAACATGCTATGAGGCACTAAGAACAGGTTCTCTGCAGTCTCAGAGAGAAGACAGTTCTCATTCCCAAGAGGGAACAAGAATGTCACCAATACAACTAAATGAAGGGGCAGACACTGGGACACAGACCCCTGTAGCGTAAGCCAGCCATTATAGGCCCTCCTGGTATCATCCAGAATTTTGACTGTGCAAGTTTCATAAAAATGTGTAACCTTGGAGCTGAAGAGATGGCTCAGTGGTTAAGAACACTGGTTGTTCTTGCAGAAGACCTGGGTTCGAATCCCAGCACCCACATGGCAGCTAACAACTGTCCGTAACTCCAGTCCCAGGGGATCCGACAGCCTCTTCTGTCCTCCACGACCACTGCACGACACGGGTGCACTTACCTACATACAGGTAATACACGCATACACATAAAATAAAAATAATAAATTTAAAAAATTTAAAACTAAAATAACAATGCTCTTCTCCCAATCATGACAGGACATCAACCACCAATAGAGACACACCTCAACAGTCCTGAGCAAAGGGGGGATTTCAGAAGCAAAAGTAAACTGACAATAGTGACTCAAAATTATGAAACACAGCCAAAAAAAATTAGATGGCAATTTTTAGATTAAATATATTCATTACAAAATATGGGGGAGCCAGGCATGGTGACGCAGGCCTTTAATCCCAGCACTCAGGAAGAAGTGGCGGGCAGATCCCTGTGAGACCAAGGCCAGCCTGGTCTCCATAGTGAGTTCCAGGCTAGCTGGGGCTACAGGGAGACCCAGTCTCCCTTTTGCCATATGCCAGTTTTATCCCCCACACAAGAACCAGGGATGGAGTGGGTAGTACAACCGAGCCGATGCCAGACACTGGTAAGCAGCCACAGTGGAGCACTGCCACTGAACTGACCTGGTTCAAGCAGCCGGTCACACCCTGGGCAACACGTATGAGGTGTTATGAAAACCATGAAGAAAGCTGGAGGGGAAGGGGAAGTTGTAAAGGGCAAATGCAGAGAAGGGCCTGAGACAAAGGAAGCCTAGGGTGAGATGGAGGCCAGAGAGAGGAAACCATGCATCAGACCTCAGCCTAGGTACTGAGGAAGCAGTCCCACGCTACTCTGAAGGGCTCAGTGGAAACTGAGGCTTCAGAGGAGCCGAATGCCAGCAGAGTGGAGGAGGGACATGAACAGCAGGAGGCAAGACTGAAGGAGGCAAAGCCTGTGTGTGCCAAAGCTACGGGATGTCTACAGAATTCTTACAGGGGTCACTGCAGGACTTTGCTTACTGGTTTCTGTGTCCACCTGATGACAAGTGTGAATTTAAAGCCAGAGTAGAAATCCAGAGAAAACAGGAAGAAGAAAGAAGTTTATTAGAACACTCCAAGCTATAAAGACTAAACCAGGCAGGACCAGGACAGTCAGTGAAGTCATCATGGAACCCAGAATGGTCATCCTTAGGAAGCCAAGTAAAGACAGTTTATTAAAAGAAATGAGCCCGATTACTAGATAGCTATACTCTGTGCCCCTAACGTTGCTTTTAAACATACTCACACGACTGCAGTGGTTTCTTTGCCTGGTTAGTACTTGTTAAGAGTATTTTGCTTTCTTCCTGTTTAGGTCTTACGTAAAAGTTGCTCAAAATCAAATCAGGTGTCACTGCTTTTATTTTACTGAGCCATTGTGCACTTACCTGAGTCCCTCTGTTTTTTCTTTCTTGCATCTGAACTTCTCTGTAATGGTTAATCTGTTTGTTTGCTGGGCTTTTTGTTTTGTTTTGAGACTGGATCTCCCTATAGCCCTACCTGGCCTAGAATTTGCTATGTAGACCAGGCTGGCTGCAATCTCACAGTAACCCAACTGTCTGCCTCCTCCAGAGAG